ATACTTACGGATGCAAACGGAGAATGCGGAGAATGAGGAGTCGGTCACGCATGTGCTGTTAGAATGCTCTGTGCTAATGCACAAACTAAATAGGCTCCTAGGAATGTATATTCTTACGAAAGAGGCAATAAAACTCTGTAAAGTAGGTTCTGTACTACAGTAAACTAAAACACCACCTTGCAAGACTGGGTATAATTACGGATGCAAACTAAAGATTCTGTGAAGAGAATGAGGAGTCGGCCACACATGTGCTGTAAGAATACCCTGCACTAAAGCACACATGGAATAGGCGAATGGGAATGTATATTCTTACGGAAGAGCTAATAAAAATCTGTGAAGTAGGTTCTATACTACTTTTTATTGATACAACTGGGCTTAGATACCTACTTTAAACCTAGAAAAGGACACAATAGACCCAACGGTCGCAGTACCACATCCCTTAACAATAATAATAATAATAAAAATAATAAGAGCAACATTACATGATTTTAATCAAATTATGAAATGCTATTCATTTTAAAAGAGGAACCATACAACAACAATAACAATAATAATAAAAACGAAATAAAAATGTATTAAACACGCCTCACACCTTACTTAATGATAAACTTTTAAAACTATACTGGCGTGGCATTCATATATTCCAGCTATCCATTATTGAATTCCTTGTGTTAACTACAAGGGAGCACACTGGCTCTTTTAAATGCTTTCTGTAAAAAGTTCCTTTTCACTCGGATGTAGGTAACTGTTGCATTACACACATACAATGTTAAGTAGCTTACACGCATTGTTGCGTTTTTAGGCGCACCCAGGCGTTAGTGACAGACGTTACGTAGTTGGGTGCCTTCGTCTGTTTTTGCTGCTTTTGCGAACAAATTAGTCTGTAGCGCAACAGGGTTCGAAAACTTTGAATGTCGACAATGAGATCCTATAACAGTAGGTACTAATACTATTAGCCACAGTAATTATTACACACACACACAGAAAACCGTAGGCGCGTATAATAAATGGTTTATTGAATTGAGTGGTATACAATTGGCAGAAATAAAATAGATTTGAATAGCAAGGCTCTGAGGTAACAATGGCAGCGGAAGTGTGAAACGGAAATTGTTATAATAAAGAACGAGAATTTATAGTGGTTACAGTTTGTGGTATTATAGCCGACGCTGTAGAACGCGTCGAATTGCCATAACAATACCGAAACAGATTATTGTGTTTCTGCTTATATCGCAGTTGTGTATCTGACAAGGTCAGTTTAATACATGTCACAGCAAATTACTGTAGTATAACGACAAATATTTATAGCAAAATGTAATAATCAATTATTTAAGATGTGAATGCTTGAGCAGTTGAATAAATTTCTAAAATACATTTTTTACAAATTTCATACTAATATAATAAATGAAATAAAAATTATTTTACAATATATAAGGTAAAGTCTTGTTTTGACCAAAAAATGTATTGCATTATATTAAGGATTTTAAAAATACATTAGATTTTCTATAGTATAATACTATGTTCTTACAGTCAAATTTCCTTAATTTCGTAAAAATGAAATTAAGTTAATTTCAAGTGTTCATACTGCCCCTAATTAAGGAAATCATATGTTTTTTGTTTACAAATCGAATGTTAAAAATTATAT